ACGCCCCTGAGTATTATGTAATCGCCAGACCTGACCTCGGACCTCAGGTCCGGCCCGGGGCCGCTCACTGAGCATCACATGATCATAAGCTAGATAACTCGCTGGGTATCACTTGAGCAGCCTGAGTGCCTGTGGGAGCAGCTTAGTCAGCAGATCACCTCAATAAAATGCACCACGTTAGCCCTATCCAAACCTTGGAATGCAGTCGTTCACCCGGCACTCTTGACTGTTGTCCCCTCAACGAAAGGCTGGTGTTATCAATTTGGCAGTCGATCCTGGTTGTTGCGCCTCCACCTAGAAGGCAAATGCACAGTGGGGCCATATTATTGGCTTTACTATTCTGCGCCTATGCCACTATTCAACCTCGCCGAGCTCTATATAGTTGCGGAAAATACCCAATCCTCCATTTTTGGTTCTACAATATCCAGGAATATCTCAGGAACCCCCAGGTGAATGGTTTGTAAATCCGGTTTAGTGTTTTATTCTGATTTTTTGGTTGATTTTTTAACGGACTATCGCTTTGCTGCCTGCCGCTTGCTCCTAGGGATAGGACTTCAGCTCTATCTAGACCTATCGATTATGCCTACTGGATGATCTAGCCGCCTATAAAGAAATTTGCGGCCCCTTATTTGCCTAATATATCCTAATTAACAATCAGAAAGTACCTTATTCTAGCTAAATTCTGATAGGACTCCCTAGGAGCTCTCAGACATTACGTGCTACTAAAATGTGATTGGTGAGATGATATAAATCCTAGGAGCTTAAGTGCTGGTACCCACTCGCGAGAGCTGTGAGTGCTAATGCTGAGAGTCAAAGTGTTTGCATTGCACAGGATCCGTATGATGTTTCCAGTGGTCGGAAACGTTTCACCTTAGGCCGGGTTCATTTATGTTGCAGGGCATGTACAAACGCTTTACTGGTGTTATATGCTCTAAGCTATCCCCTATCTAGCAACTTGCGATCACTGAAACATACACGCTACTTTTGACAGACAGAAAACGCGCAGAGACATATATTCCAAAGTATTCCAAAGTGAATTTGGCAAGGGACTCATGTAGGCCAAAGGTGCTTCGTAAATTTATGTAACAACGGTATCATCAAGACAAATGAAAAGATCTATGTACATCGCCTCAAGGCTACATAGTTTACTGTGCCTTTTGATGTAGCCCCCCAGTCAGACAATCGCCAATACGTATACACCGGGTTTCTATATCTAACACTGGTAGTCGTAGACGAGCTTGGCCTCAAGCCTCTCGCCGTCGTCCTTGGTGACCAGGACCCGCCTGGTGTGGTAGCGAGTGCCGTTGAGGACAATGAAGCCGACGACCTGCTGGGTGACGACGCCCTTGGACTCGAGGTGCTCGGTCCTGAAGTGCATGACCTCCTCGGTGCCGTCCTCCCAACCCTGGTGGAGGTAGTCGTCGTCGAGGTCGGTGAGCTTGCAGATGCGGGAGCGACCGCGGATGTTGCCGAAGAGGCCGTGGTTGAGCTCGATGGGCTTCCAGTTGAGGACACGCTTCTCCTGGGTGGCGGGGAGGCCGCCGCTGGGCTTGTTCTCAATGTCGAGCAGGATGTTGCCGTTCTCGTCCTTACGCTGGTTGATGGTGAGAGTGACATTGGCCATGGCAATGACCTTGCGGGTCAGCCAGTTGACGCCCTGGACCTTGAGGATCTCAACAGAGGACTCGGACAGGTCGTTGTTCTGTAGATATAATTAGTATACAGGACTTGTGTGACACACACATGGGAGAATTTGATGTCTCTTACAACAGCCCAAGAACCGTTGAGGTCCTGAACGGTCTTGGAAGCGGGAGCAGCCATTGTGTCGACGTGTGAGTGGTCTTTCGGTATATGGTTAGGCAAGAGTGGTGAAGATAAAATCGAGTTTTGGTGGTTTGATGAGTGTGAGTTGATTGATTGAATGTCTTGTCTTCTCACTGAGTTTCTGAAGCTTCCAACACGTTGCTTATATACATTTCGTTTTTGATATATGACACACCTTCTTCTGTCGGCACTTGGTACGACACATCCCACTTAGAGTATTCAGTTGCAGATGGAGTAGCATGCCGCTCGCTAGTGGGCGTCAGTCAGCTAATGCCAAACACCACTAGCGTAATGAATCCCCGTTTGCCGCGTCGGGTATAGAAAGCCGGCGTTTGAGCCCTATATCGTTGGGGGTCGACAGGAACCAAGATAATCCGCCAAAAAGGTGTAGGCTGCCACAATGATGCCGGTAAAAGGATAAAGACACAAAAGGTACGTAGACATATTTTCAAACGGAGAGACACTTGCATCCTGCTTACTTAAACAGGACAGAGGGGGAGACCACCTTACAACCATATCCCAAAGGGGTATGCAGGATGTTCGGTTCACGGCACTATCAGATGTACTACCAGTGGACGCTCCGGCGTCTTGTCTATCTTGGAACCACGATCCGAAGGGATCATTTCTTTTTGTCTTCTTTCATATATCTGATTTCCCCTCTCTTGGTCATTATCAACAACTCTCTTTATCTCTATTTCGTCGTTGCACTCCCGCGAGACTAAATATAATTCTTCCCTACTTCGCATCGTTAGCAGCAGCTGTATCCACTAGGATTGGGGTCCACTGCAAGCTATGCGCAGAGTCCCAGACGTGCTACGGGACGCCTTTAGGATCTGACGCCAGGGTCAACCGAGTATTGACTGGTGTGTTGCGATTCTCCAGCAAGGCGGATCAGCTCCAACATCATGTACGCGCAGTCCGAGAAGCTGCCTATGCATGGGCAGGACCGCCCGCACTCACAATCACAATACGACAAACCTAGCTACCCGCCTCAATACGATCAAGCCCAGTACAGCCACCCTCAACCTGGAGGTCCTCAGTACGGGGCCCCTCCAATGGGACAACCTCAGTACGGACAGCCTCAGTATGGACAGCCTCAGTATGGACAGCCTCAGTATGGACAGCCTCAGTATGGACCTCCCTCAACTGGACAACCTCATTACGGACAGCCACAATATGGCCAACCCCAATATGGTTATCCTCAGTATGGCCAGCCTCAAAATGGACAAACACTTTACGGACAGCTTCAGCCCGGTCCCAATTCTATGCCCAGGTACGACTCACAAGCTGGGAAGACCACCATGGGAGGGCCACTGCCTCTGCCCATCGTGATCCCGCAGCAGCGCCCAGGGTCTCAGGAGCGAGGCTTCATGGCCGCCTATACGCCATCTCTGGAGTCGTGCGGCATCGACCAAAGGTCGTTCCTGCGTTTCATCGATGAGACTAACACAGCCTTGGAGGGCAACAAGTACCTCGCCGGCGTGCAAGTCGTCTCTCTTGGCGTGGGTCTCACTCCCGAGGTCATCGTTATGGGCGTCGTCGCGGCGGTGCAAGCGGGCGCCTGGGCGGCCAACAAGGGCTACGTCAGAGGAAAGTAAGTGCAATGAGACGAACTCTGCTCTCAAGCCACGATGCTAATCAGCCCCCTCCTTAGGACCAACACCATTATGGACAAGTACAACCGCGAGCTTTTCGCACCTCACGGTCTGTTCTGCATGATCATGAAATATGAGCCTGAGCTCAAGGAGCCCAAGAATCCCAACCGTCTCAAGCAGCTTGCCTCACTGGCTGTCAATGGCTCGAGCAATGGCGGCGGCAGTGCATGGATGCGTGACCATGTTTCCGGCAAGTCGCAGGGACCTGGCGGTCTGCCTACGGCCGTTGCACCGCTTGTCTATATGGACAACCACCGCCAACACAAGAAGTACCTGTCCGGTTCTCCCCCTGAGTCACCAGGCTCCAAGAGGGGTGTCGTCCCCGCTGGAGGCAAGACTTCGACCAAGGACAAGGCCAAGAAGGCCTTTGACAACTTCAACGACTACCTCGACCGTCGCGCTCGCGCAACGTACACCGCCGAGAACGGCAACGACGTGCTGAGCGGGCCGGCTGGTCGTGGCTTCAGCAACCGGTACCTTGACCCCAATCATCCGGCCGTCAACGGAGGTCTCATCGGTATGCTTTCCGGTGGCGTGTTGAGTCCTACCCCGGAGCAGCGCGCGCAGAAGAAAGCCAGCAGAATTGATGATGAGGAGAGGGGAGTCCTTGACGAGTACAACGACCGGAGGGAGCGCATCTTGAACGACCGACGCAGCCAATCCGAGACAGATCGGGAGTTGAGGCGGTTGGAGAAGGACTACGAGCCTCGTCTGGAGCAGTTCCGCAAGAAGAGAAGGGCGCTGGAAGGTGGTAAAAGATCTATCAAGAGCGTAAGTCTAACTTATGTTTTATACTTCCTGCTGACTTGGTGGTGTTGTTTTTTTGACTGACCATGGCATTTTGTAGAACATATTGTACCTGACGATTGTCAACCTTCCTTCAGAGGCTACTCTTGCTGCCGCTTCTTCGACGCTGGAGCAGGAAGATGGTCACAGTGTTATGACGGAGACGATGTCACCTCCAGCGTACTAAACTTTCATTCATTATATATTCATATGTCTTTCTGGCAGTTTACGTAGAATAGCGGATGTTATGCGGAGGATTCTTTGATTTTTTGTATCAATCTAAATTTTGAGTGACCTTGTGCGATAGACTAAATACCCAAATCAGACAAAAATGGACCCTCAATGCCACGTCAAGGTTATGGTCTCTACTAGTGTAGTCTATCTGCCCTTGATGATGCAAGGCAACGCTAATTACCCGTGCTAGACCCGGACACTGAGGTTGGTATCGAGAGGTATGTGTTATCACTCGACGTTTTCGAGTCCTGCTCTTTTCTTACCGGCTGGCCTCGTAGCTGGGATAAAAGACGAGAACTACCCTGGCCTGACCCATGGGACTGTGCTATTATATAATAGACTAGTAATTTATTAGTTATCTGTAGCTAAAGGTTCACTTGAATTGATTTCATATACCAAGAGATTCAGGGCCAATCCCAAAGTTCATCATTGCAACGAAAGACCTCCCGAGACAGTGCAAGGTTATAGGCGCTTTGTGGCGTATAAAGGGACAGCCATATCTTACAAAGCCTCGGCAGTCGAGGTCCCTATACGTCCCTCCTCAGCAATTTTCTCTTTGTTCATGGTGTCAACGGTGTCAGAGCGGGTATCGCTGGGGGGAGGAGAGCGTTTCTCCACAATATTGGTCTCGTCCGAATTCGTCGTGTCGGCAGTATCTAAGAATTGTCAGCGTATATTCGTTACGAAAACAATCAATCACGTTCAATTAGCCACAAGACTTACCAGGTTGAGGTTCCTTAGGCGGGGGGCAGTAAAAGCCAACAGCGAGGCAGATAATCATAAGAATAATCTCCTCGAGGACGCCCATGCAGAGATTAACGGTGGGGTTGGGTTCAAACAGGTTGAACCGCGCGATGGTCGTATAGTCACCTAAGCAGCCGTAGACGGTGCGCACGATGAGCAGTGGCGCACAGGCGTAGACTGAGTACAGGATGACCTTCTCGTTGCGAGGCATCTCGTTGCGGTAGATAGTCAGGTACCCCAGAATGGCCAGCAGGAGACCCAAGCAGCCGACGAACATACCCAATGCGGCTTGGAGCATAGGGGGGATGGTGTAGCTGTCGAGGGCCTTGATAGCGCCGGCGATACCAAGGGCCAGCCCGACCAAGCTGACGATACTAACAAAGATAAAGATCCACTTGGAGAGCTTATTGATCGAGGTGTTTCTGAACAAGACATGCCTACGTCAGTCTCGAGTTACGCGTAGGTGGATACCAGGTTGCGACTTACACTCTTTGCAGCAAACCCACGGCAGCCAGTGTTAGGGGAGCGATGCCCAACAAGTCGCATGTGATTTTTGTGGTGAGAACATTGATCGAGTCGTAAGTGATAGTAATAAGCTGACATATAGCGCCAGCGATTCGGAGACAGGCGAGGATAATAAGGAATCTCCAACATGATGCCACGGCCTTCATTCCTTGCTGGTAACACAAAAGAATGGCGAGGAAGAGGCAGGGCACGAAGACGACGAGCTGCAACAATGCGATACCATCTTCATAGCGAAACGTCATCTTGGATCGAGAGGGGCCGGAGCGGCGAATATAGCGGGTAGGTGTCTTGCTGATGGCGGATTGATAGGCAATCTAGATTACAAGGTCAGGGCAGGGAGGGATTGAAGGCCCTGGAAAACCGGTATGATCTGATAAAACAAGTATGAAGGATAGGGCGAGAGTTGGGAGTTCATTCGAACACCAGCTCTTGCCTTGGAGGAGAAAACGATACGAGGGTAACAAATGAAACAAACGTCCAGGGTAAAATAAGAGAGCGGCCTCCCGTGGTAGAGCAGGTGTATAAAAAGATTGCAATGGGTTCGGGCTGTGTGCACTTAAACACATAGACGAACGAGGGATTCAATAACAACTTGAGGGCTTCGGGTATCTCCATATAGAACAACTAACATCGAGCATACCCCATTAGGAATACATAGGTGATAATGTGGATATCTGTGGCTGTCGCTCTGCCAGCTAGTCTACTACTGGACTAGTGCCCGGTCATCGTCCCAGAGATCTCCTTGGTGGCGATAACCTTCTCTGCGAGCCTATCTTGCCCCGCTATTCCGTTTCCGTCACCGTTTTGTTCCTTTTGCCGGAACTTCGAGCTATCCATTTTGGGTACCATTTCCCTAGAGTCACCAGCTGCCCACTAAGCCCCATTAGGGAGATTGATCGACGCAACCACCATCCATACAAGAAGTGAAGTAAATGATGATACGGGGTGGGAGTCATTCTGATCGACATTATCCATCGCGCAAGATTTAGTGCTTGCTGTCAATTTTAAAAGAGGTTAAATACCGTGAATTCTCCCCGGGCCGCAGTTGGTGGTTATTCAGCACCCACCTACCGTACCTACACCCATGTTTTTTAGTGACACGTCTTTTCCTTTTTTTACTCGTGCAGGGATGCTACTTAACCAAAAGTTCCCCCCAATAAGCGAGACTACGACTTGCGAGACTTGGACATTTGCACAAAAACTTGAAAAACTCTTCCACATGAGGCGTTTTGGTTTAACTTTTGATTTGTGAAAGGATATATACTTGTGTAAGTCTATATCTACGGTGTATGCTCTCTATATGCAGTTTATCGCTGTATAAAATATCTACATTTGAATGATGCTTCCATACTATCCACTCAATGGTGGACGGAGGTTGCTTGATTCAATAAAGTTGGCGAAATCATCTGCCTGCGCAATGCCTGTTTGGCAACTGATTCTGCGCAACTGGGCGGCAGTCCACGCACGGGTCTCGTGGCCGAGGTTGTGCATGCAGCCCACAGTGAGGAGAACCCAACAGGCAAAGTAGCCGCCGACGGCCGAGCCGGTGTTGTTCTTGGAGCGCTCGTGCTGCTGCGCCTGCTTCTGCTGCTGCTGCTGCTGCTGCTCCTGCGCCGGGGAAGTGGCGTAGCCCATGAGCTGGGGCACGGAGGCGAGTATCTCGTCGCGCAGGCGGACGATGGTCTGGGTGGCCTGGTGCAGGCGATCGGCGTAGTTGTTGGCGAAGAACCAGTTGCTATCGGTGTTAGCGCCGCGGAGGAGGAGGTGGCTGATGGCGTGGTTGGCGAGGATGCGGCAGACGCGCATGCTGTTCCAGACTGAGGCGATCCAGACATCGTGGTAGATGTGGTTGACGTCGCACCGGCTACGAGTCGGATCGTAGCTGTTGCTGGAAGAGTTGGATTTGACGGTGAACTGCCACTCGGAAGGGCACTTGGAGAATGTGCTCTCAAGGCGGTAGTCAATCTCGAACGCCTGTGAGAGGTAGCGCTCGAGGTGCTCAATGGAAATGTTGGCACCCTTGAGAGGACCGGAGAGCATGGAGGTAGAGGCGGGGGAAGAACCGGATGCAGTAGAGGGGGAGTTGAAGGAATCGGAAGGGGCGGCGAGACCGGAGGAGGCGGCGCCGGAAGAGTTGGGAAAGAACGAGTAGCCGCCCGGGGAAATGTGCTGGTAGAGATCCAGAAGCTCGACTATGCCGCTGCAGACGACCCAGTAGGGATCCGAGACGCTGATGGCGTTGGCGGCCTCGATGCGCAGCATACGTAGGCTCGAGGGTATAGGGGAGCCGGAGCGCAGGCAGTTGGTGAGGAGCTGGGAGAAGACATCCTTGAAGATCTGCAGGCCGGTCGAGGTAGAGAACTGGGAGCGGCCGCGCAGGGTGAGGAGCGAAGTGGCACCCTCAGTGTGGTGCTTCCAGCCGTCGATAGAGCCCTTGCTGAACTCATAGAGGGCGAGGACGAGGACAGAGACGATGGTGCTGTCGCGACGGGAGGCCTGGGGGTCGGCGAGGGCGAGATTGACACGCTCCATAGTGCGGGTGTACATCATCATAGACCGGGTCAACAGGTCGGCCTGGCTAGTAGTGCGAGCGAGCCCACTGAAGCCGACAGCCAGAATAGCACCCTCGAGCATATCATTGCCGCCGTCGTCTTGCGCCAGCATGGCCGGAACGTAGTCGAAGAAGCCGGAGGAGGGACCGGACTGCCGAACGACGTAGTGAGAGAGGAAGAAATCGAGACCGATAATATCGAGAGGCAAGGAGAAGGGACGCGCTATAACCTCGGGCTGACTGCTGGTGAAGTTGTTCTGTCCTAGCCGTTGGCTGTCGCCGCGGTTGCTGCTATCATCAGGGAACTGATCGAGAGCCGCATCGTCGCCGCCTACGCTAGAAGCGCCGACACGGGAACGACGCCCAGACACAGAGACAGGAACAGAAGCAGCGGATCCAGGACCGTCGCCCGATACCAGCATGGCGCTGGGTGAGGCATCCTGGTGGAGGGAGAAGAGCCCAGTCTCGTCCGGGTTGAAAGGGTCGTGGAAGCTCATCAACTCGGGCATAAAGCTGCCGCTGGCGAACATCCCGGCTCCGGCATCGACGTCGCTCATGTCGAGCATGGTCTCGTCGACGACATCGGAGGGGCGGCTGGCGCGATAGTCTGGTGCAGAGGTGTATTGTTGTTGGTTCTGTTCCTGTCGTGGGGCTGTGCGCTCCACTGAGAGGCAGTCGGTTGGCGTGGCTGTCAAAGTCCTCTTGGACACTTTTGAGCGGGCGCGGTTGATGACCTGGGTGCTCTCATCGCGAAAGATGAGGCTTGAGGGATCTCTGTACCCGTCGCATTTCTGACCCGTGCGACAACATTGGCCGCATTCTGGGACTGCTTTGTCGCACTTTTTTTAGGTTAAATATAAGCCAAAATGTCTTTTTCACTTTTTTTCACTGATGATTTTCCGTCTTTTGTAAAGGGGCGCAAACAGTAATGACTTACTCTTCTCTTCTTGGCGCGACAATTGTTGCAACTTGTTGAAGGACGACCACAGTAGACCATGATGCGATTCTACCAAGTGGTGGTGCTGATCGTAGATGGACAGGCGGGGAAATATGTCAGGCATCAAACCCAACGCACCGACTTAGTACATACGTGAACAAGAGAGTGGGGACAGTCCCGTTCCGCGTGGAGACACACGGTAAGGCTGGATGAGGTGAATGCCAAGTTCGGACAACGATATGGTAAAAAAAGACTGGGAAGAGAAAGCAAGACGACAAGACGATTTGAAGAAGGTGAAAAACGTTGTTCCTAATTACACACACACACACACAATCTATTAGCGCCCGGTGGCTAAGCCGGAAGGACAGTTATCACGATACAAGTTGATATGATACTATATAAAGATGATCCATTAATATTGTGATCCATGGATCTGGTCTTGTCACGTGGAGTCCAAGCTACGTGGTGGCAACCACTCGAGAAAGTCTCGTCCCGAGACTATACAAACCTTTACAATGGGAACATATACTGGTTCTCTAGCTTAGAGACACATAGAAACCTAATCATGTTATACGTTAGCTTTTCTTTGTACTCGCTAGACGCTAGATTTGAAAAGTTTTGATAATTGGACTCGTTGTAAGGCATAAAGGTTTCGTTCCGGAGATTATTATTGAGACGGTACCAGGAATCACCAGTTGGTGAGAAAGACTTCAGTCAGACAGTAGGTGCTTGTCTTGAAAGAATTCTATTGATGAAGAAGAGGTTAGGCCTGTAGACTAACTAGATATATGTATTGCTCTTCTCCTTTTGTCGACCGGAGTCGACAATCAAACGGGCTGAATCAGTCTGTTGCTCCATTCGCCCATTTGCTCAATACGCTTGCTATTCAAAGATATTCCTCGGTCCCCAGCAGTCCCGCCGGGAGCTCGCTCCACTTTCCTTCCTAGCTGGTCGCCAACTCCGGGCGCAGTATCATAGAAAGGGGCGCTAGAAATGCTGGGACAGAGTATAAAGGGGATAAATGAGATAGTGAGTTTTAATAATCGATTGTCTTCGAGGGTATTTCGCTGTATTTATAGCTTGACTAGATACAGTTAGATACCTCGTAAAAGTCATCCTAGCCATAGTCAGGATAGGGTAACTGAATTAGCTACCTATATATCTTCATACGTCATCATTTTCCGGTAGTCATATTCATAAATACGTTCCCTAATACAGGAGGCAATCAACAAAAGGGTAGTCATGCTCAAAGGTTTTTAGTTACTGGGCGCTAGCATCACAGAATAGATAGGTACATACTACGTATACTCCAGCATTTATACGTTGTGCGTAGGCTCTACTCCTTTGTCCCTGTTGAGCTATATTCTGATCTTTCTTCTAATTTGGCTTGACGCTGTATTCTGGTTACTTCTATTGAGATTCCTGTTCAAAAGAAATTGGTCTTAGCAATGGTTAGGCCAAGCACTTGGGGATCGGCTAGCAACCGTTGCTTCTAGATACCATTCACTCAATATTTCACACTTTTTTTCTTGAAGGAAGCCCAAGACTAGACCGGCATTCAGGGAGGAGCACATCGGACTAATATTATGTTTTCATCTTATGACACTATAAAAAAAAGGCAATAGAAAAGCCAAACACAATGTAGAATTGTTCAAATTGCAGCCGGCTATAAAAGCTACCAGATCCAAGGTGAAATTCAAGGTTGTAGATTGTACATAGTATTGGGGACGTCGTTAAAACAATGCTGTTCTCAAGAGAGAAAAAAAAAACCAGCGCCAAATCATGCCTTCTCGGACTTCTTCCGTTTCTTTTCCTCTTTATCCTTGTGGGACTTCTTGGACTTCTTCTGGCTCAGACTATCACTTTCCTCCTTTTCTTGTGAGTGCTTCTTTGACTTCTTGCGAGGAAGCGCTGCGGCCTGGGGAGCTTCATCCTCAGACTCATCGTGATCAAGCTTTCTCTTCCGTTCCTCTCCTCTAGGGACCTTGAACGAAGGCATCTCAGTCTCGGATTCCGAGCTCAATTCAAGGGTCTCTGGAGGCGCAGTGGTTGTCCCGACAGGCCTGAAGCGCATCTTCAAGTTCTTCGGTTGCGGCCGGGCTGGCTTGACATATTTGCGCATCTCTGCCACTACGGCATCGGTTTTTTTAGATGTGCTTGGGAGACCAATCATTTCTTGAACGTGGTAACTCGGGATGCCGTGGGCTGCCGTGCAATATGTTTCAGTCTTCTCGTCGAAAAGAAGTAGCGATTTGGTCGCAGGATCTGCCTCAGAAAGAGCCTCGACCGGGATACCGTAGTTCACACCGTCGTGAGTGATGATCGGTTCACCCTGCATGATCTTGGCCATGCACACCTCTTTGACCTTAGACAAAGGCAGAGAGGCTGGTGCTGTGAGGTGGAGGACATGTTTGCCCTTGAGGTTAGAGAGAAGGGAGGAGGCTTTGGAGGATGGCGGGGCCTGCTTCTTTGCAGACTTGAAACCTGCTGGTGGTTTGTATGGCTGAGGACCGGAGATTGCGACCCTATAAGCGCATGCGTTAGTAACCATCAGAGCTGATGGAGGGACAATCTCTTACTTCTTGCCTGAACCGGAGCTGGGCTTCATTTCGTTGGAATCGTCGGAGTCGCTATCCGAGTCCGAACCTGAGTCCGAGGTTTCATCTTCGCTTGATTCCTGCACCTTCAAGTGTTGGGTCATTTGTTTCTCTTTTTCGGTCGTAAGTTCAGGTGAGGTCGATCTGCTCGAGCTGCTATCGCTATCGGATGATGCCATGGCGGCTGTTCAATGTGTCGGGCAAACTTGAGGTCGAGACTGAAAATGCTTTCGCAAGGATGTGCGGCGCTTGACACCCCCGGAATCCACAAGATGAATGAAATTGGAAAATAGAGTAGTACACAGGGTATATATCCGAGGTTTCAGCAAAGCCGATTTCGCAAAATGAATTGGATCGACGTTGAGTGAGGATGTTCAAGTCCAAGGATCTTTTTTTTCTGCTCCGCAGGGGCACGGACCACCAGCCAACTTTTTTTGCTTATCGGTTTCGGATCGCATTATCATGGTGATTTTCTTTTCGAACACAAGCTCAACGCTCGTGGGGTTGAATTGTATAATATCATGGTGAAGCGAAAAGCCGAAAAACAGCAATCAGCTGGTAAGCCCTATATCTATGCTCTATGATACCAATTCGAAGCTCACATGTTGTTTCTTTAGGCCCTGTTAGCGCTGTTGCTGCTTTGGCGGCGCGCAGAGCTCGACAACAGCAAGCACAGAGCGCGGATGCACCAAAGGATGCACCGAAAGCTATTATTGAGAGCGAGCCGCCCGCAAAAAAATCACGGCAGTCTCTCGAGGGACCTGAAGCGACTGGAACAAATGAAGAACGTCGTGGTACACGGATAAAAGTAGCAAAGAAACAAGATGAGCCATTGCTCGCAGAGACAACACCGGAGCGCCCAGCAGGAGTAACCCAGCCTCAAAAATCGGAAGCGAAGCATGAGATAGAGGATACTCCTAAGCACCCCGAAGTCAAACAGTCTGAAAAAGAGCAAGTCGAAGATGATGCGGGAGAGATGGATGAGGATGATATTGCATCTGTTGTGGGTGATGCCGATGGCTATGAATCGCCCGCAGAAACGCCAGCAGAGCTCCAGAATTTCCCCCTATCCAAGGCTCGGTTGAACAAAAGCAACATAGTCTACAGTGATGAGAGCACACTTTGTATTCGCATTAAGGAACGGACGGTATGGACGAACTTCTCCGGCCATTCGGGATGGATACTGACTTTACTTAGAATCTAGCGTTGCTGGGCCATTACGATCTTTGGGTCAAAAGAGGTGTTGTTAGTTTGATGGGCGCGAAATTACATCCGTCCTCACAACTGCATAGAGTTTATGCTCCCTCAACCCACTCTTTGCCAGTCATCAAGTGTGTTGCTGGTATTGATGGCGATGCAGAAGTGGAGATCAAGTCCTGCACCAGCGGCATTTCCCGCCTCCGTGACCTCTCGCCTCTATATCAAAGGATCTGGACTGGCGATAACACCGCTGCAGATAAAATCACCCTGAAAGGGGCCGCAAAAGACTCGAAGCGGACTTTTTCAGTGGTATGCTATCATATTCTACTCCAGCTCGAGATGTGTTCAAAGCTAATTGACTTGACAGTTGTATACATCGGCAGATGATTCCTTAAATAGACATATCCGACCACTTCATCTTGACAAGAAATGGAGTGCATCAATGAAAGCTCTCTCACAACGTGAAGGACAACTTCGTGTTCTAATTTGTGGCCCCAAGGCATCCGGAAAGTCGACCTTTAGTCGCTACTTGCTGAATCACGTTCTCAGTCCGACACCCGAGACCGAGAATGGATATACTAATACCGACGGAGTTGCTTTCCTGGATCTAGACCCAGGCCAGCCTGAATTTGCCCCTATGGGTCAGGTTTATCTTGCACGCTTGCGGTCTCCATTCTTTGGTCCGCCTTTCACTCACCCATCATTGAACGATTCCCATAACGGTGAAATAGTACGGGCGCATCACATCGGCGCAGCATCGCCAAAAGAAGACCCTGATCACTATGCACTGGCTGTCATGGACCTTATGGATCAATACCGCTCGTTGCTGGAGAAACATCCCCAATGCCCTCTGATTATCAACTACCCCGGTTGGATCTTTGGACAAGGATTAGAGGTTGCAACTTGGCTGATCAGATCTCTCGGTCTCTCTGATGTGGTATATATGAGTGAAAAGGGCCCATCAGAGGTAGTGGATCCGTTAGGTCTGGCTGCCCACGAAGCTCGAGTTCCCTTGACAATTCTCCCATCCCAGCCCACTGATTTCGTGAGCCGATCAAGCGCTCAGCTACGAGCGATGCAAATCCAGTCATACTTCCATATGTCTCATCCAAATGATCTCAGCACTTCACTTTGGTCAGATGTACCGCTATCTCGCACGAGGCCCATTACTGTGAATTATGCTGGCACACGACAAGGTATTGTGGGCGTTATGGTCATGGGATCCCAGATCAACCCAGATCTACTTTACGAAACGCTTGAAGGCGCTATCGTAGGAGTCGTAGCAGTGGAATCGCCGAAAGCTATCATGAGTGGGATGGCAACACCAGGGACACCGAATGACGAAGGCCATGAGGACATTGACATGGATTCAGCAAACCCAGGCGCGGGTAATTCAGTTGAGCTTTCCATCACTGGCAGCGTTATCCGAACACCTGAAGACCTTCCTTACCTCTTTGTTGGTTCCGGCAGTTGCACCCCATTGGATCCCAAAGCGTCGAATTGCCTTGGTCTAGCTTTGGTCCGCTCGATCGATACCTCTTCGCGCAAACTTGAGCTCTCTACTCCTATTCCCTCAATTCACATAGAAAAAGCCATCGAGCAAGGCCATGGTATTGTGCTGGTCCGCGGGCAGCTTGATAACCCGAATTGGGCTATTAGTGAAGAATACTATGCCGCTCGTGCGGCAGAGTTCCGCTACCAGCAATCGACATCTGGGCCGAGGAAAACTGGAGACTCTGGCAGTGAACAGGCATATGAGCTCGATCCGGCTGAACATAGTCGAACGCTTGCATTACTACGAGAGAGGGTCCGCCGGGCAAGCAATGTGCCTTGGATGACTGTCGTGGAAGATAACAGTCGTCACCAGCGTGAAGTTGCTGCGCGGCGAGAAAAGTCACTTTGGAAATTGAGAAAGAAGGCATACCCCGGCAGCGAGAGCGAGGCGGACTACTAGCTCCCCCTTATCAAATATATAAATAGAAGTCAAATGCAACAGCAGTTTGCACACACAATGTTATGGGTCTTTATGTTGTATGTATGTACTTTGTACATGGACTTGCGGAGCATGCCCCTCATTGGTCACGTGGGCGGAACAGCGGGGCATTTTCTTTTTCTTATCGGGAAGATTTCTCTTTTTTTTTCTACATACATTGTATCAATTGCAGTTGATCTGTGGTTGTTTCCGATACATTTCAGCTTCTTCACTACGAGCACTGTGTGACTCAATTTCACAATGTCTGACGCCGAGTTGATTCCTCACAACAGCTTCGACACCATCCTGGTGCTCGACAATGGCTCCCAATAGTATGACTCCACTGATTGTCCTATTTTTTGTTTTACGATTTGCCCAGTCTAACAAATCCCTAAGCACCCACCTTATTACCCGCCGTCTACGAGAGATCAATGTCTACTCTGAGATGCTTCCGTGCACCCAAAAGCTCTCCGAGCTGACCTGGAAGCCTAAGGGTATCATCCTGTCCGGCGGTCCTTACTCTGTGTACGAGGAGGGCGCCCCTCACATCGACCCCGCCTTCTTCGAATTGGGCGTCCCTATTCTCGGAATTTGCTATGGTCTCCAGGAGATTGCCCACCGTCTACACGCCGATAACGTTGTCGCCGGTACCGCCCGCGAATATGGTCACGCTGACCTTAAGGCCACTCAGTTTGGAGGCCATGTCGATAAGCTATTCGAGGGTCTTGAGGATACAATGGTGGTCTGGATGTCGCACGGCGATAAGTAAGTGACTGCTTAGTCCGCGGGTTCTAAAAAAAATAATCATGCTAATCATACTAAAAGGCTTTGCAACTTGCCCGAGGGATTCCACACTATCGGCGCAACTAAGAACTCCGAGTACGCTGCTATCGCTCACAAGACTGAGAAGATTTACGGAATCCAGTTCCACCCTGAAGTTACTCGTAAGTGTTCCTATTCTTTCGGGCCCGTCTGCCGGAATCGGAGGACTAGGCTTAACACACAAGCCGTGGTTGTTTAGCTGTGTGACTTGTGTTTCTTTCTAAGTTTACATACTAATGGGATCTCAGACACTCCTCAGGGCGGTCAGCTTCTTAAGAACTTTGCTGTCGGTATTTGCGGTGCCCAGCAGTCCTGGACCATGTCCGAGTTTATTGGCCAGGAGATCACACGTATCCGTAACCTCGTTGGCCCTACCGGCCAGGTCCTTGGAGCCGTTAGCGGCGGCGTGGACTCTACCGTTGCGTAAGTCAACCTAACCCACCTAGTTCAAGAGCAATCACTAATGAAGAGTGTAGTGCAAAAATTATGACCGAAGCTATCGGTGACCGTTTCCACAGGTGAAGCCCTAAACCCCATATCCGACTACCTCCTACTAACTAAGCCAGTGTACTCATCGACAATGGATGCATGCGACTCAACGAGTGTGAAACTGTAAAGCGGGTTCTTGGAGAACTTTTGGGCATTAACCTTACCGTTGTCGATGCCAGCGAGGACTTTTTGAATGGGCTGAAGGGAATCAGCGATCCCGAGCAGAAGCGCAAGTTTATTGGTGGCAAGTTCATCGATGTGTTCGAGGCTGAGGCCCGTAAGATCGAGGCCAAGAGTTCCGGCAAGGTCGAGTGGTTCTTGCAGGGCACTCTTTACCCTGGTAAGTTTGTTTCTATGACTTGATTTTTGACTCTTGCTCGAATTCTTGTCTATGACTCGAATCCTCTCTATAGCTAGTTGACTTATGCTAATATCTTTCTAGATGTCATTGAGAGTATCTCATTCAAGGGTCCTTCGCAGACTATCAAGACTCACCACAACGTGGGTGGCATCGCAGAGCGTTTAATGGCGGGCCACGGCCTCAAGCTGATTGAGCCTCTACGCGAGCTCTTTAAGGATGAGGTTCGCGAGCTAGGCCGTCAGCTTAATATCCCCGATGAGCTTGTTGGCCGTCACCCCTTCCCTGGTACGTAAACACAAATACCTTAATTAGTCTCTAGATCCGAGGGCTAACACTATCTAGGCCCCGGTATCGCTATTCGTGTCCTGGGTGAGGTCACCAAGGAGAAGGTCGAGATGGCCCGTAAGGCCGACCACATCTTCATTAGCATGATTCGCGAAGCCGGTCTATACGACGACATCGGCCAGGCCTACGCCGCGCTAGACCCTTCACGCGCCGTTGGTGTTATGGGCGACAAGCGTGTGTACGCCAACATCATCCTCCTCCGCGCCATCTCCACCAAGGACTTTATGACCGCCACCCCCTACCCCTTCGCCTACGATTTCCTGACCAAGGTCGCCACCCGCATTGTCAACGAGGTCGATGGTGTGTGCCGTGTTGCATACGACTTCACTAGCAAGCCCCCTGGTACTATTGAGATGGAGTAAATTTAATTTCTAGTTCTTGGGTTAGGATTTGCTTGTGTTGTGAGGGTTAATAGAAAAGTTACAGTTGATACAGATTTAGCTAGAATGATTGGATGCATGTTACGAATCCATGTGCATAGAACCTTGGAAAGGAATCAAGTTCATTATTTCATATTTTATATCGGCAGTTCATAGAAGACGAAGGTGTAAATAACAAATGTAAGGCTCAAGGCAAGAAAGGGACTTGCCATGCATTCATGGATAACGCTTGATTTGATTTGACAAAAAGATGTGGGCAACCTTGAAGCCAAGGTAAGATATAAAACGCAGATTTAGAGTTCCCTGTCCCCAAATGAGGAAGCATTGCTATATGTTTGATCTCTTTGCTTCTGCCACGACTGGAACATGAGTGTTGCCACGTTCCGGCCCATCAGCGCACTGGTCTCCATTGTCGAGATAAAGCTCTCGATGCCACCCGTATACCACACACCCGGAGCCAGAAGAGCCTTCTCAAATGTCACTCGCGGGTACTCAAGGGGGTATGGGTTCCATAACTTCTCATGGAACCAACTGATATCACTTGTTAAGAGGTCTCTAATGGTCGCATCGCTGCCCATAGTCTCACTCTCCAACCCCAGGATCTGGGCAATGAATTCAGCCGTGGGCCGCTTTGGCGAGAAGATCTTGTAAACGTAATGCTGCTGTGAATCTTCAGGATGATCAACTATTCGAAGTGTACTGATGCTCCAGAAGTCGATAGGACCAACACCATCTGGGTTCGAACCCAGATCAAGGCCCTCGGGTAGAGTAGTCAAGATAGTCTCAGGCGCTCGATCATTTTCTTTTAGGCCAAAGAATCTCGATGAAAGGCGATGTGGGGATGAAAATAGTGTAACGTGTAGATTGACATATGGAATCTCATCTGGTGTGTATTCCAGAGGAGGGGAGATGGAGATACCGGAGTATTGCAAAGGACCAGCAATGACAACTTCGTCAAACACCTCATGCTCGTTTGGCTTTGACGAGACTCGCACAGTCCCATCATTGTTGCGTGAAATTTCAGTGGCCGTGGTATTCATTTTAATATTCGCTCCTGAGGCACTCAGCGCGCCATCGAAAATGCGCCAATTTCCGCCCTGGATAGAGACCGCTCCATCCGTGGCCATACAGACGACAGACTCCAAGCCATGGATCAGCTGCAGATTCTGCCCGTAATTCACTCGGGTACTTGCTTGGATGATCTCCCTCGCAAATAGCGAGTCGATATTATTTGCCTGGAGAAACACATTGCCTGAAGATGCAGTAGCATTGATCAAGTCAGCCGCAATAGCCGCTTCAGTAAGAGAGCTGAAAGGGAACAAGGGCTCTTCATAAAGACGGAGGAATTTGCCAACAACATTTTTCACCAGATTCTGAGTACGTAGTGGTGCCAGTCCATACCGCCAGAAGAGCCGGCTGATATTCCACCAGCTATACGAATTCTTCAACGTGAAAACAAACTGGCTCCCATCCCAGATCCCGATAATCTCCTCGGTCTCCCTCGGCCGTGCATGGTCGGCATTATTCACTGTGAGACCGAGGTCACGGGAAGCGTTGACTAGGTTGTAATTGATCTGGACAAAGATGGAAGCGCCCAGTTCAATCGGGTACGCTGGGTCGTCGAATACATTGACTGTTGTTGAGCGACCGCCGATATATGATTCACGCTCATAGACTGTGATATTGACGGGGATATTGGTTTCGTCTGCAAGCTTGCGCAGTTGATACGCAGCAAACGAGCCTCCGGCTCCGGCTCCTATGGGGGCTATTAGCCCTGTATGGAACTGCGATTTAGATGCATACCAATTATTGCCACCCGCTTGGGGGTTTCACTAATGGCTCCTCGAAGTGGCTCTTGTTCTGCTGCATTGCCAAACGAGACGAGGAAGATGGCTAGGATGGAGTATAGGAAGAGAGCGGCATGTCGTGGCATAGACGCCCGCATGATTATGGTAGTATTAGAAGATGACAAAACTAATTGGTAGTTGAATGGCCAATACTGACTAGCCAGAAAATAAATACAGATCAGATGGATCAGACACCCATGGATGAATGGAGGTTGAAATGTCAAGGGCGGACAACTTGGTAGTAGGTATCAATACTACGCTAGTCTACTTTAGGACTGGTGCATTTCCATATCGCTTATCTTTTTGAGGGGCTTCACAGATTTGCCCGCAGGTGATTCACTTAACTCCGAATTAATTCAAAATGGATCCCTATGACAGTGACTCCAGTATCGACGAGGACTTTACTGATACCGGTGTCCTTCTAGGCTATGCCGCTGAGGATGTCATCGAGGATGTAATCAGTCATCTTGGAGGCTGGCCGGTATGTTCTACCATTGAGAGGGATCACTCTATACCCAACTCCAACTAACAATCGCAATTTTTTCGTTCAGAAATGGCTCGATGAAGCCTCCCCAGCACCTGGCGATTTTGCCAATTGCAAAGTCTGCAACAGCCCAATGCTACTCCTCCTCGAATTGCACGGCGACCTTCCCGATCACTTCCCAACTGATGAACGACGCCTATACTTATTCGGCTGCCCCAGAAAACCTTGCAACCGCAAGCCAGGCAGTATCAGAGCATTCCGCGCATCGCGAAAGGTTGCCATCGGCGGACAAAGCAGACAGGTTGAAGAGAAAACAGAGGAACCCCAGCCCGTCGCACCAGAGCAACCCAAGCAGGACCTAGGCGCGAGCCTGTTCGGCGCAACAAACCTGACGAGCAACGTCTCCTCCAACCCGAATCCTTTCTCGTCATTCTCGGGCCCAACACCCGCAGGAAGCAACCCTTTCGCAACACCGGTCCAGGCAACAGCACCTGCAGCCGAGAAGCCCGCCGTGTCTGCAAGCACCCTAGAATCATCTTTCGCCGACAAAGTACGCATCTCCTCGCCGCCCCCCTCAGCTGCAACAAAGAAAACACCGGAATCAAGCACAACGGCGCCATGGCCTGAGCAGTCCGTGTTTCCTGCACCGTACAAGCATTTCTACCTAGACGCAGAATACGAGACTCTCTCGCGGCCGTCTTCACCAACAGTGCCAGATAATGTGCAGATCGAACCAATGGAGGAAGAAGGCGCTGCCGGTCCCGAGCTTAAGGATACCTTCGAGTCCGAGCTCGACAAGGCCTTTATGAAGTTCTCGATGCGCCTCGAGCACAACCCGGAGCAAGTGCTGCGGTATGAATTCCGCGGTGCGCCGCTGCTGTACTCAACTGAAGATCAGGTCGGTGCCCGGCTGCATGCTCACAATGCTCCTAACGCCAAGGTCACCACAGTTGGTGCGGGCAGCATCCCGGCTTGTGAGTACTGTGGAAGCCAGCGTGTGTTCGAGTTCCAGCTTGTGCCACATGCTATCAGTATGCTCGAGGAAGGCCGTGCTGGTGTTGGACTTGGAAAAGATGATACGGGCATGGAGTGGGGCACTATCATCATGGGGGTCTGTGGTAAGAACTGTACGCCGCAGGAGTTGAACGTTACTGGGTGGCGTGAGGAATGGGCTGGTGTGCAATGGGAGGAGTTGAGATAGATGTGGATAACTTGCATTAGATGAGAGCATTTTGCCTACCCTGAGGTGTACATAGCAATGTTACCAGGGAAATCAAGTATTTTCTAGCTATATACATGGCTTGGTCTGTATTATCATTTTGGATATCTCGTCGAGGGATGGCCTTGTGACATTTCTATCATATTTAATGTAGAAATGGCTCCTCTGCATCAAATTCCTAAGGCTGCCTGCCAACGGGGATATAATTTCCATACTGCACTCACGAGTGCCAAATTTGTACGACAGTGATTCTTGATTTTTTCATGTGCCAAAAAGCACATTTAATACAACTATGATTGCAGAAAATAGCCATGTTCCGATTTTGCTCTGGTCAAGTGGCCTTGGGGGAAATACTGTAAATTATATATGGCTTCACTAGCGAGCCAAAACACCCCAACCTTAGAAGTCATTTAACACCGGATTTGTACTGTAAGAAATGGAAGTCGTGCATAGTATCTACATGTGTATGTAGCTCAGGTATGTAGGTAGGTGCTATTCCTTTTGGAAAAGATTAACTTATACTACTCGGAAAGGCGTGCCTCATCTTGTTGTCTTCTCTTGCTTTGAATGTCCCAGAATGGTACATAATATAGATAGCTCTCACCCTGCAGGTTTCAAGGTTTGTTGGTAGCTTAGACATGGTTAGGGCATACAGTTCGTCCGGCTAGTTTATGTTATGAACGTATAGAAGCAGTGACCAAACGAGTGGCACACTATTCAAATAAAAATATACACTAACTAATGCTTCAATATCAAGATTCTTTAAAGTTGCATACAAAACCCTAATAGTTCATCCCTGAGGTTAGTTGGAAGGTTACATGTCCGCTAGTCACATTATGAACACACGTATGTTAGATCTGCATCGTTCGCTGTGTAGAATTATTGTTCGTCTTCCTGCTGTGCTACATACATCGGCAAAAACCTGTTATCTGCAAAACTACGTACAGCTGTGTACATGGCTAACAACATAGATGAGATTGGCGAAACACCTGCAATGTGACTCTATATTCCAAAGTAGAGGATATCTATATAAATAGTAGCTTTGGTATCTTATCTTCTGTTGAAGTCCATAAACATTTGTCTACTGGTTCTGCACTTCAGTCATATAAATACCAAAATGTCTACTATTGAACAAGTTTTAGAGAAGTTCAAGGGCATAGTGATTCGAGTCCCATCTCTGTATTCATTGTCCCCTTCCTGGCATCCCAGAGTGGTTCCAGACCTGGACGGAAAAATAGAGGAACATGTAGAATCATGGCGTCAACGGTATGTAACTTTACTCGGATGATCTGTTTCAGCAATGCTAAAACCAGGAAGCTGGGTACCGGAGCCTGCTGCTTACAAGCAGAGCTTGGGTGCCAACTGCAATTACTGCGTGCGAGCTATCAGTCCAGAAGCCAACATACCGAGCTTGCAGATTGGAGCGAGATACGTTAGCTGGGTACCTGAACCACTATTTCTTAACTCTCTATTTGGCTAACAAAGCTCATACACTAGCTTTTTGCTTGGGATGATGGTATGCTCATATCCGAGGTCGCTATCTCGTGGCTTCTAACATGAGATAGATCTCGATTTGGGCACCTTTAATGGGAGCGCGAGACAACGAGAGCTAATACGAATTGAGGTGTTAAGGGCCGTTCAGAAAGCCCTTCTGGGCAATACTGTTATAGAAAAACCCTCTGACTGGAGAGATACTCCCCCTAATCTAGCCGAATCCTTTTCCGACATAGGATTCTCGCTTCAAGATGGCACTGAACTTGGTATGCCTACATTCCCTCAAGATGTTAGAAATTATTGGCTAGCTAATTGTAAAGAACCTCTCCAACACTTCCTCTGCGACACACTTTGTGATTATATCACAGAAGCAGTCAGATTGGAAGATGTATCTCAGGATGGTATCATCTTGGATCTAGACGTCTATCTAGAAGGTAGGATGGAAAATTCAGGTGTCTATCCCACGATAGCACAGTCTTTGTGAGTCTGTTCTTGCCATGTCTTGGGGTTATTTCCAACCTACTAAACTTCACATTAGGCTTCTACAGGATATCGCTCTCCCAGCTTGGTTTCTCAAGCATCCCATACCAATGAAAATGATGCGACACATCAGCATAATGGTAGCCCTGTGGGTATATGATCAAAGTAATATAGACTCCGTGCTAATAAGTCTATTATAGGTGTAACGACATTGTCTCTGCTCACAAGGAAATGGTAAATAAATTCCTTCAACAAAGATACAAAGCCTTAACAGCTGATTTGATAAAGGGCTGCAAGCGTATAGATAACATAGTCCCCTTGCTCGTCTATCATCAAGGATTGGAACCACAAGAGGCAGTTTATCATATCTGCCAAATTATTCATGATAGCTATACTGCCTTTGAGAACCTTGTGCCGGAGGTTCTTGCCCTTGCATCCGAAAATGGGTTAGCCGCGGGCCCAACCTTTGTAACCGGCTGCAAAGACATCTATATAGGACTGGCGAACTGGACGTACGAGTTCTACCCAAATGATCAAAGAGTTTCAGGTTCGAATCTAATAGACTACGGCAGATACTATACCAAACGATATCATGATTTTCAACCAGAAGAAGGGGAGACGGAAGTTTTGATCACCATGGGATAATAGGAGACTAAGAGTTTACATTCCTGGATCATTGAGCGTGAGATCGCAGCTATACATTGTTTTTACTGCCATTTCGGTTTGCTAGGTATCATCCTGTTAGTATATATGTAGCTTCGTCTACTGTATGTATATACACGTCTAGATGCTTACATATATATGTATTCATTATAGGCTACAAGCAATACATTGTCTTTAAAGGGAAATGATGAAAGTTTGAAGTCAACCAAAAAATGCCGCGAATGATGTTAAATATGTGGTAAATTCCGAGGAAAGGCCTCAGAGTGCCTAGGCCCTGGTAAATAACTTCTCGACGCGGTTATTAACAACTTGATTGCCACATTGTTCCCCATATAAAGGAAGTTGCACCAGAACACTCTGTAGATATAAGCATAGACCTTTTCGGGACATACCACGAAGTCAGTTTTAAGCTATGATGGGCTGGAGTGAAGTGAACAAGTGATCCAGCGAATCATACAATGTCGACAGTCTCACCTTTGTCTAACATTCACTACAAAATTGGATAGGGCCATCACTGCAACCCTAGTAATTGTACTACAGCATTGTGCCAGCCCTTCAATATATATCCGACAAAAACCAGATGAATCTCAGCTTTCTAAAGCGTCTCTGATAGCAATCAATCTACCACCACACAATGGCTCAAGCAACTCTAAATGGTCAAGTGGGAGTCGTCACTGGCGCAGGTTCAACGTACGGCATTGGCCGTTCTATAGTGATTGCAGCCGCAAAATCCGGTGCAAAAGTCATCTACGCCTGCGACATCAACTCAAGCTGTTTTCCAGACCTCCAAAATACCGTGCAAGCCAGCGGAAGTGACACTTTAGTGGAATGCCGTATACTTGATGTCTCATCCGAGGAACAAACACTCAATCTAATACAACATATCTTGAAGACATACGGTCGACTGGACTTCTACTTTGCCAATGCAGGGATCGCAATGTATCGGTCAGTCTGTTTCCAGTCTCCCTTATACATTTCTCGACAGTGAGCTAACCGAGTCTAAGTGGTCTAAATGACCTCTCCGTATCAAATTTCCACCGCGCAATGGCAGTAATGCAAACGGGGACCTTCCTCGCACTGAAATACGGCTCCCAAGCCATGAGCGTGACATCCTCCGAAAAACCCAATCCAAAGGGGAATATAGTAGTTACCTCGTCGTGTGCAACGCAGGGCGGGGGGATTTGCAGACATGGCATACACGACAGCGAAGAACGGGTGCAATGGGCTCGTGCGAAGCGGCGCTTTTCAACTATCCTCCAGCAATATCCGCGTGAATGCTGTTGCGCCTGGTCTTACTACCACAAGCCTCTTTGCTACTTCTAGACTTGCCGAGGAAGGCGTGGAATATAAGCTTGACAAGACCGCTGAGCAAATTCAGAACGAAGCGGCTAAGATCTATCGGCTCTTTGGTCTTGGTGGTGAGGATCAGACGTACTATTATAACCGTAGTGCTGCGCCGGAGGAAATTGCTAATGTTGCTATCTTCTTGGCGTCGGATTTGGCTTCGGCGATTAATGGTCAGATTATTATTGCTGATAGTGGGAAGTCGGTTGCAGCGTCTGGGGATACTTTCACTGGGCCCGTTCCTCCTGTTAATCCAGTTATGTTGTGATTCAGTTGGGAGGGAATCTTGAACGCTGAATGTTTTGAATGTGATGTCATTTGAGCTTGTATTCCTCCACAATGACACTATATGCTATATTTCCATTGCTCCTAGATCTGGAACTGGCTCTGTATGATTTTTTTATGGCAGCAAAGCCGGCCCTGCATGGAGGCACGACTGAAGTTATGTTATGGTATGGACATGGCATCTCTCTCTCTCTCTTCCTCATATTATCTAGTGCAAATATTTGCACGGATAAGTTCAAAAAAAGAATCCAATACAGACAAGAGAAATAGAAAATAAAATAAAAAAACGCCAGATGCGCCAGGTCCCGACTCATCTCCGAGCCCCTCCTCCATGCGAAATCTATCGTCGGTTCGTCACTTGATCGGGGGTGGGGATTCATGAACTCATGTCATGGATGGGAATCAAATTTTCCCTCGCACAGATTTTTGGAGATTTAAAAAAAGGTGATACGAAAAGAGGAAAGAAGTGAGACATTTCGAATCGACGCGAAAAGAATCAATAAAGAGCTTCCGCAGTAAGCGCTTATGCGGGCAACTCGAAGCCACGGCGGATGACACGACCGAACTGCTCGATGCCGACGTGCTCGCTCTTGACCTCGGAGCGGGCCTCGTTCTCCTTGTTGGTAGGCACGCGGATGAGAGCGCCATCAACCTTCCAGCCGCAGACATCGACGACGAACTTGTCGAGCGCGTCACGGCTGCGGATATCGAGCCAGGACTCGAGGTTCTCGGCGGTGATGGAGCGGAAGGTGTTGCCAACCTCGATGGCGATGCGGATGCGGACGAGCTCCTCGAAGCCGGCGACGTCGGCGGTCAGGTCTGCGTACAGATCATCCGAGTTCAGGGTGGACCAGAACTGGGCGTACTGGGCGGACTCGAGGAGGGAGGACAGACGGGTGAGCTTCTGGACGGACTCGACGAAGTCGGAGGTCTGCGAGCCGGATTGGGCTGCGCTGTTGTCGGGGAAGGGCTGGGTGTTTGTTGGGAGCAGAGCGAGGCAGAGCGAGAAGGCGGGCGAGGGGAACACGGTCAGGGCCTTGGCCAGAATGTTGGTCACAGTATCGGGTTGGATGAGGTGGGGGTTGAACTGGAAGCTGGATATTTTTGAAGAGGGCTGTTGTCAGCTTGGATTCGAGAATCTCAAAGATGATTTGAGGTGTTTGTAAGAAGTAGGCCATGCTGTTGCTTTCAACCAATGCATGGGTTCTACGCATTCAGTATCTTCACAGAATTTCTCAACACTCCCAAGTATATTGTGGGGTTGTCAGGTAATAGGAAACGCTTAAAAAGATACTCATCATAGGAGAGCTTCTCAAGTATGATTTTCGCAATGCAATTCCACAAAAAAAAGGGGTCCAACTCACAGCTTCAGCAGAGCCAAGTTGGCGTAGCAGTCGAATGACCGGTCTTCGCACTGCAGGGCGACATAGTCCTGGAAGACGGTGGTGGTCTCGGGGTTGTACCGGTCGAGGCCATTGAGGATGGCCTCAATGTGGGCGGGCCGGGTCTCACACTTATCGAAGGCGACCATTTTGATATTGCTGGAGGGATGTGGGAGATGATGCGGGTCTTTTGTCTCTGATGTTCTTTTTGGTGGGATTTTCCAAGGTTTGATTGTGGCCGTGGGCGGATTAACCCAAAAGGGGATATTTACCCGTGATTCTTCCGGACTATACTACAATAAAACTCCAAGTCTCCGAAAAAGTGGCCAATGGCCTTGGATTGATCCGTGTTCAAATAATACATAAAATACACATCTCTTGAATGCCTTGTGCGATCGTGAAATCTCAATCATGACCTAGCGCTAGTTCCAAGAATGGAAACCGGCTAACAGACGTGCTTGAATCGTTGAACTCCGTGAAGATCGAACGAGGTATCCAAGAGAAGAAAAGCGTATCACTTCAAAAAATCTGAAATCAAGGCTGGTAGAACAAGAAACTCCGTTCCGTGTTTGTAAGACGCCATAGTCTATGCCCATACCCATATCGCAAAAAAAAAAAAACCAAAAACAACGGCCCAATCAGTATGCAGGATGACCAATGCAGAAATCGGTCGAAACACCTTGCTAACCCGAATAAAAGCACAAGCTCCAAAAACACAAAAAAAGAAGAATAAAAGTCAATGTTGGAAGTGCCTGAAAACCAAAAAGAACAAAGCAGGCGGGTATCTCAATAAGAGGTTCATGCAAATGATGAAAAAAAAATTATCTCAGGCCATGACAGGCCGGCGAGGGGCAATGGGGATCGCCTTAGGTCCTGCGGAAATTTCAAGGTTCGACAAGTCGATTTCATTACCATCCTTTGTCTGTCTTGCCTTGGAGACGAGGACTGGCTGAGAGGGACTAGGGCTTTCTTCGTCACCCACAGTGCTGCAGACGAAGCGTTCCTCGTTGAGAGGGATTCCGCCAAACATTCCGCCCAGCTGCTGTAGAAGTGCGACGAAATGAGCATGTAATTCAGTGAAAATGTATTCATTGCCGACGATTTCGGCTAAATTCCGGGCCCGAATTTGGCCGGCCGCACGGCGGCCCGCCGGATCCATACCTCGGCCAGTGAGGAAGGATGAAACGGGAGGGTATTGGCGACCAGGCAGTCTTCCGGGATTGTTCTGCTCATCGCGGGTCTTCTCGTCTTCCTGGAAGCGTTCAGCGGCATGGACAATGCTGGTTGCGATGCGGCCGAATGCACGCCAAATGATGGGGCATGCGCGGAACGCTCTTCCGGCATCTCGCCCCGCTAAAGCGACCAGTGCGTAACTGCGTCGCTTGCCGCGGGCCATGGGGTCTGGAAGGCGGAAAATGTAGGCAATTGTATAACCGGCGACTCCGTCGCCGAAGCAGATGGGACCGGATGAGAGTCCGCGGGGCAAAAGTTCGCAGCTCAGGGTGCGAATAGAGGAGCGTCGGAGAAGCGCATAGTCCGCGGGGTTCGGCGGGCCGCGCTGAGAGAGATAGGTGTGAATGTGTGTGTGACATGAAGCATCGGAGGCAACTGAGGCGGAGTGAAGTGAATCGGGAGGAGATGCATGGGTGTGATAGTCGGTTTCGTCGTCCAACTCCGAATGGTTGTTGCCACATGAGTAGACAAGCTCGCGCGAGCGGAGTACCGGACTAGTGGAATTGCCTTTTGCGTCGCGACTTCCAGGAGCACCTGGAGGTAGCTGCTTGCTCACATTTTCTGGCAGAGACAGGCTGCAACTGGCGCAAGTGTCGCCATTTGAACTACCTCGGCTAGATTTGTCATCGGGGGAGGCCGGATGTCCTTTCAGGAAATACGGGTGATCTTCGATTCTGGGCGATTTAGACTCGGTAGATTTGTGAGATCGCTCATGATCGAAGCGAGATTCATGTGAAGCTGGGGTACCCTGGGGAGAGTGATCGGATTCGGGGTGACATTGCGGACATGAAAATGGTAGGACCTGTGAGCAAATGATAGAAGTGGGACCATGCACCTCGCAGAAGTGCGTCAAAGAGAGCTGAGAAAGTCAGTCCAAGCTCATTTTTATATTAGATACCTTAACTCACAATGAAATCCATAATGGACCTGCTCAAGCAATAACCAGCATCTTTAGTTCATTGTTCCAAGGCATGCTGTGATAATGACGAAAATGGGTTTGGTATGCGGGTCCACGGTCCACACACAAGAGGTTTCCCGGGATAAAAAAGAAGGTCAAAAACCGAAGGAAATAAAAAAAAGAAAGTAAGAAGAAAAGGGCAGAGTGAGATATTAAAAGGGAAGAGAAGTAGTGGAGTTGTAATGTGATAAATAAGAAGACAAGCAATAATAATCGAAGGGGCTAAGGCCTACCTGTTTCGGTAGAAGGCCGGGACTTTTTTACACTTAAACACTGGTTTTCCCAAATGGAAGGTCGATGGAAGGAAAGAACTTACTCCATATATATCCACTTCATTTTGTATTTTCTAATTTCTCTTTTCTTCTTGATTACTTCTTACTTCTTTATATTACAATCTTTTAATCTCTGTATATACGTACTTTTGCCCTTTTTCTAACTTATATGTATATAGTTACACCCTTACGGATGCCTCCCGATCACATTCTTTCACACTTCTCTCCTGGATTGCTGCATGTGAAAGTCATTCTAGAATCGGGCCGACCATTAATATTCTTACGTGTCCGTGTTTTGCCTAGCGCGTTGTCCCGAGGGGCTGTTCTCGTCTACCTTTGGACCGTTGCGTATAAGTGGATATAGTGGCTGCAAACAGGGGCTCCATTGTTGGAATATTAAGTGGTACCAATGATCGTGTAGATAATTCAGAAAATATTATATGATAATATATATGAAAATATAATATACATACGACGAGGTACTTTCTATAATCTTGATCTTGATACATCATTCCATACCTTTCCTGATCTATCAATTGGATAAATCGTCAGGGGTTCACCGCCCCCTCTTCCGGTAGGTAGTAAGGGTTATATTATATTTTTTTTTACTTTTACTTTTTGCTTCTTACTTTTGATGTCACTCGAAAATCAGCATGTGTCAGATCAGTCGACAGCCGTCTCCATTCCACCCATCGGTGGGTTTCCTCGGGGAGTAATCTGGAGACAACCCCGTGTTAGGGGTTCGGTAAGGAGGTAAAGGGAGGAATTCCCAGACTTCCGATTTGCCAAGAACGGTCATATTGGATGTGTACAATATGTTTAGAGGTTCGGCTACTCCGTATAGTAATCCCTTCTGGATTATTGTAAGATGATCTTTGGGTCCAAAACGATGTTCATCTTTTCCCATAGTGGGACACAAAGCAGTTCCGTGGAAAAGTGGGAATCTCGGGGGAATTGGCGTGTTTAGGGGGTGTTTAGTGTGTTTAGTGTGTTTAGCAGGGATCTAAACTTTGTGTTGGGATTTCCCGACAAGCCTCCGGGAGGAGCTCCGGGAGTTGTAGGATCTTGATATCCCTTTTCACCGTTTATGATATCTACATGCAACATGGCTATATTCGATATTACTTTTCACTGTTATATATATATATATATACAATATGCACGAGGCTCTCTCATGCTCTAGATGGTCCACTACTCCGTAGCGATCTCCAACATATCTTCTTCATAGGGATGAGGATCGCCGGAATTGGATTCCATTAAATCAGTGGATCCTTTCATCCGTCTAAATGGCAAACGGCGGATAATGTACATCTCCGATCCTACCTACGTCTTCCGAACCAGGATATATTATACAGGCTTTTTTTTTTCAAAATGATGAAACAGACATTTTGACACTCCGAAATAGCAGTTGCCTCAGCATTGGGCCGGGAATTTCTAAATCCTAGATCCTTGTCGGCATACGGAGCCAGGTGACCTCCGTACGGAGTATACGGAGTACAAAAAGTACTCTCACGATCAGCCCTTCGACCACCAGTAGTACACTAAGTACACTAGCCGTTGATAATTTGTACCAGCCTTCAAGCCCTGTCATCTACTTATATTATCCACTTCGTATACCCATTCCTTCATTCTATATGATATCACCCTATCACGCCGAGGATATTATTGATGATCCATTTTAATTTATGGTGAGGGATTTACCATGTTTATGAAAAAGGAAAAAAAAAAAAAACCGAGAGACGATAACCGGTAAACTGGACAGCGGATCCCTATTATTTTCGCCACATATAGGCACACGACACTCTAACGGGTTTTTGATGGATTGCCGAGTTCTCCATACGGAATATTTATTTCCGTAGTTCTCCGTCCAAATTTAATCCTACTACGTACTACATACTATTACATACGGTATACTAAATTCAGCTTAACACTTTATGTTAGTATTCTAACGTCAGACTCAAAATACATACACATACCTACATACTAGGTAGGTAGTTAGCCCTGGCATATACATGCTTTGTAAGGGAGTATAATTGAGTTTCTTATTATCCGATATCCACAATTGTTTTGGGAAGGTGGTTTATGTAAATTGTTCCATATGCTATGCAGAAGTGGATCGACTGAGACATCTTTATATTTGTCAGGAACAATCGGTAAGCTAAAACGTCTGGATCGATCCAATGGACGATCTAGCCACGTGGAAATCCCCTAGATTGCTGATCTTATTAATGTTGTATACTTCAATATATTGTACGGAGTACAATAGTATTATATGTATTTGGAATGGTCACAAGATCTGGATATCAACCGTTCAATTGCCGCTTAGAATATTTATGGGTATACGGCTCCTGGTGCCGTCGCCACCCTGACCAGCGTGGCTTCCAGCCTTCCAAGGTTGGTTCCTTGGAAGGTTATCAGGTTGATTATGTTTTACAAAGTATGTGTGTTGTGCACCTCCCCATGTGGCCAGCCGTACGGAGTACTCCGTATGCCTTGATGGATTGCCCTACTAGCCCCCCTGGGCCCACTAGTAAGCTCATGTATCCAGATAGGTGAGGACCGTCCCGTTGAACCATATATCTTAGGAAAGTGGAACATGTTTTTAATCAAAAAACAGGTTTTATGACTATTAATTGCCCAGATGGAGATGTATGAAGCTTTTTAAGTATAAGCTTAAACTGGCCTATGACATTTGACTGAGAGGTATGAGGGGTTTAGCAGATATTGGATCTATTTTCAGTTGCATCTTTAAAAAGGCAACTACATAACCTAGAGAAGACACATCAACATTGTGAGGCAACACAGCCTCTTTTTAGCCGCTGTTGGCGGAATTGTTTAGACCCATGATCATCCGCTAACTGCCCAAGGGAAGTCGGGCATGGAAACAGAATTGCTTTTTCTTGTTTTCCATTAATAGCCTTCATGGCACTTGCAAGGTGTTGGCTCGACCGCGTGATCAGCTCCGTTATCCCCGGGGCGCGTCACAGAACCATATTGACCAGCAGCTACTTTGTAGACTCGGGATAACCCCTTGCCGTTGGTCGGCGAATCGCCTTGCCTAGCGAAACGAGACATTTATTCAGTCAATCGTAGGAGGCTGCCCGCATTAAATCCATTGCTGTTTCAGAGTCTGCTCTTGCCTTCCCGGGCGGGTCGAATGTTTCAAATGCATAGATAGCTTGAGCATGTACTGTTGTTTTCAAGGGCGATCAGCGATCATATTTGGGCATGCGCATGTTCATCATTGACAGCATGTTGCCCGCCGGACCGGAGGCTCCAGCTTGGCCTTGAAGACTCTCGAGCAAATTCTTAGCGAGGTTGATGTTGATGTTCTCATCCTCATCCTCATCATCTTCATCTTCATTGGAGACTTTGGCAGCCTTTCCTTTAGATGAGCCTGCTTTGCGAGACGAAAATTCATGTGGGCGCCGGCTGAGATCGAGAACACCCGTCCCTTTCAATTCCGCCTCCATTCGTCGGGAAAGCTCCTTAATATGCTCCGTGTCGTCCCCGTCCGAGTCGAGCTCTTCCACTCGTTTGCGGATGGAATCCGGTGCAGAGGGCATGCCCATCATCTCTTTCATCATTCTGGAGAACTCCTCTTCGTCGAATGACGCGTCCTTATCCTCGCCTTCACTGTCGGCTTCCTCGTCATCATCATCATCATCATCATCGACATCAGAATCCGTCTCAAAGTCATCAATGAAGTCGGCACCATCGAAGCCCGCTGAGTTGTCATTCAGGAACTCTTCGAAGCGAGCCACGATGCGTTGAAGATTTTCCTGGGCACCAGAGTCACCGAATTTACCGGCATCTACTCCCTTTCCTTCGCCTCTTCCTTTGAGCTCTGTCTCCAGATCTTCATAGTTGATATCCAGCCATTTTTCATCGTCTTCTCGCTTATCCCAGGTTTCTTGGATTTCTTTATCAGTGGGAAGTGTTTCATCCCCTGTGTCGATATCCTCGAGCAGGAACTTCATTTCCCTGACTGCAGGCTTATCCTGATTTTGGGGGTCGTACAGCAGCATCTCAAATCCACAGGCGAGTTTCATTCCCGCTTCAGCACGCTCATATGCTTTGTGGTCCTCGGTTGAGGGCAGTTTGCCGGCCCAGCTAGTTGGTACTGGAAATTCCTGGCTTTTGAGTTGCGCATATCCGACACGGGTGAACCGAACACTAACGTCGACCAAGTCGTCCGGCTTGAAAACAAGGTCCGACGCATCCTTCGATCGTAGTGGTCGCAAGGCGATCGGATCACGAACATAAAACGCCTCCACAGCAGGTGAGATATAGGCTGGCTTTTGGTGTAAGAGGAATGCAGCCTTGCGGGGAATTGTGATAATGGCGGAGTGAAGATTTTCGTTGATTTGCTGAGGGTAATTGCGCAGACGGTAGAAGGCCTCTTCTTGAATTATTGTTGAGCGAAGAATGCGACTGGGTTCGTTTTGGATGATCTTCCGTGCCTCTGAGAGCGAGATTTTCTCAGTGACCTGTCTCTTTGCCTCCTTCTTGGGCTTGATAATTCGGAGTTCTCCTTGGTGAATCCACACCTGATTTAGAGATTGGTTGATTAGTATGAGGTTTTTAATAGGCCAGTGTTAATTAAATAGTCATCACTCACCCTATTGTCTGCAATGTCTGGCTCTATCCATGCCGGAAGTGTGCCCGAAGCTTCAATGAGAAGAAATTC